TCTTTAGGGTTTACTATATAGAAAATCATGTCATCTGCAAATAATGGTTTGACTTCTTCATCTCCTATTTGGATGCTTTTTATATCTTTCTCTTGCCTGACTGCACTCGCTAGGACCTCCAATGTTATCACAGTTGTGATAGTGGACAGCCTTGCCTTGTTCCTGATCTTAGAGGGAAGATTTTTAGTTGTTCACTATTAAGCGTAATGTTGGTTGAGATTTTGTCATATATGGCCTTTATCGTGTTAAGATACTTTCCTTCTATACCAATTTTTTTAAGTGTTTTGATCATAAATGGGTGCTGTATCTTGTGGAAGGCTTTTTCTGCATCTATTGATAAGATCATACGATTCTTATTTTTTAATTTGTTTATGTGGTGGATCACATTAATCGATTTGCATATGTTGAACGATCATCCCTGTGCCTCTGAGATGAAGCTCACTTGATTGTGGTGTATAATCTTTTTAATATGTTGCTGTATTCGCTTTGCTAGTATCTTGTTTAGGATTTTTGCATCTGTGTTCATGAGAGATATCGGCCTGTAGTTTTCTTTTTTTGTGTTATCTTTATCAGGTTTCAGTATCAGGGTAATATTGGCCTCAAGAAATGGGTTGAGAAGTAATGCCTCTTCTTCAATTTTTTGAAGAGTTTGAGGAGAATAGGTATTAAATCTTTGAATGCTTGGTAGAATTCACTGGTAAAGCCATCTGGTCCTGGACTTTTACTTTTTGGTAGGTTTTTGATGATTGTTTAAATTTTCATACTGCTGACTAGTCTCTTTAGATTTTCCAGTTCTTCTTGATTCAGTCTAGGAAGGTTGTAGTTTTCTAAGTACTAGTTTTTTTCTTCTAGGTTATTAAATTTGGCGTTATGTACTTTTTCATAGTATTCTTGTGTAATCCTTTTAATTTCTGCAGTGTCTGTTGTAATTTCTCATTTTTCATCTCTGATTTTGTTTGTGTCCTTTCTCTATTTTCTTCTCTAAGAACCAGCTCTTTGTTGCATTTATTTTTTTAATTGTTTTTTGTTTTTCAATTTTATTTAATTCTGCTCTAATTTTGATTATTTTTTTCCTTCTGCTGACTTTAGGCTTCATTTATTCTTCCTTTTCTAGTTTTTTAAGATGAAACATTATGTTGTTTATTTGGACTTGTTCTTGTTTTTTTGAGATAGGCCTGTAATGATATGAACGTTTCTCTTATTACCACTTCTCCCATGTCCCAAAAGTACTATCATTATCATTTGTTTCTATGTATCTCTTGATTTCTCTTTTTATTTCTTCTCTGACCCAGTTATCCTTCAGTAGTATGTTGTTTAATCTCCATGTATTTGTGGTTCTTTCTGATTTCTTTTTATAGTTGATCTCTAGTATCAAAGCATTATGATCAGAGAATATGGTTGGTATGATTTCAAACCTCTTATATTTGCTGAGGTTATTCCTGTGTCCTAGTATGCACACTAGAGAAGAATGTATGTCAATTATGTCCAATTGGTCTGTGTCATTTAAGGATGTTATTTCCTTATTGATTTTCTGTTTGAATGATTTGTCCATATCTGACAGTGGGGTATTTAGGTTCCCTACTACGATAGTGTTTTGGTTTGTTTCTCTCTTTAGTTCTGTTAGTAATTGCTTTAGTATTTTGGGGCTCCCTGATTGGGAGCATAGATATTAATAAGTGTTATGTCTCCTTGGTGTATAATTCCCTTTATCATTATGAAGTGTCCCTCAGTATCTTTCTTTACCTGTTTTATTTTGATGTCTATTTCATCTGATATTAGTACTGTTACTCCCACTTTTCTCTGAATGCCATTTGCTTGAAATATCATTTCCACCCTTTCACTTTGAGTCTATATTTGTCTTTGGAACTGAGATGTGTCTCCTGGAGGCAGCATATAGTTGGGTTTTGTTTTTTGACCCAATCTGCAACTCAGTGCCTTTTTATTGGCGAGTTCGGTCCATTTACATTTAGGGTGATTATTGAAACATGAGGTCTTCTTATAGCCATTTTATCTTTTGCTTACTGGTAGCTCAGTGTTTCCTTTGCTTCCTTTCCTTGTGTCCATTTTTTTTATTTTTTTTATTTTGTTGGGTTTTGTGAATTTTCCCTCTGGTCCTTCTTGTTTTATGTTATATATTTCAGTTCTGAATCTTCTGTGTGTGGTTACCATTTCGAATATGTAAAGGAAATTTATATATATACAGTCATCCATTTTCTTTTGCGCGAGCTTTATCTCAATTCCCCTTTGAGAATTT